CCTGTTTAAGAGTTTTTCCTTTTTGATCTTTTTATTATATTTTTTGCATTTTTGAGTAGGCTGGCTCCCCGTCGACGGCGGCCCGCGAATAGCAATCAGAACCGAGCGAGAGGCCGGGCTCGAGGTCTGCCTCCCGCGATGGTTGAACCCGGAATTGGGGGTGGAAACGACGACGATAACCACGCGGGGATGACCAATCATCCCCTGTATTTTGTACCTCCTCCCTCCGAGGTTCCTATTTTTTTCGAAGATGATACCGACCCTCGCACCTGGCTAGCTGCCTTGAAAGCCCAGGGCTGGTCGGACCAGTTGCTCCGAGAACGAATTCCCGGAAGGTTAGCCGAAACCGCCTTTGAGTGGTATGGACATAACCCTTTCACTAATTGGTTAGCCTTCCAGAGGAAATTTCTCGACAGATTTGATCACATCGCACTAGGTCAATGCCTCCGCCTAATAAAGGAATATACACAGCAGCCTCGGGAGACCTTGGCTAGATATGCTGAACGCTTTACGTACCTAGCCGAACGCTCCAGGGTGGACGAGAAAATGGTACAGACTGATTTCGTCAGAGGATTGTCAGATTCTCGCCTGCGAAAAAAGATCCGCAAGAAATGCAACCCTATAGAACATACCGTGACGGAGCTAATTCAGTACGCCATTAAGTACGGGAAAGAAAATTACGATGTGGGCCTGGACTCAGAATCCGACGAAGACGACCCTTCGGGTGTTCGACGCAATAGCTACTCCACTACGGCACAAATGTTTGAAGATCGCTTCGGGTTGGGTCCGACAAAAAAGGGCTCGGATCGGAAAGCTTCTTCCTCTGCTTCGACCTCCTGTCGCTCTAGTCAAGCTCAAGGAGGCCGGGGCGAGGAAGAAGTGTCCATGAAAGAGGTAGCGACCCAACTAGTTACGGTAGTGGCCCCGTTGACGGAGTTTGTTCAGGGTCTGCAGCGACAACGCATAGCCGCCGCACAACGGCAACAAGCGGCTATGGCCGCCGGGGCCCCGATGATAAGACCGGCCCTGGCCGGGGCTGTCCCGCCCCTACGCTGTTATAACTGTAATCAGCCAGGCCACCTTGCGAAAGATTGTCCGAAACCTCGAACTCAGAGTGGGCCCACGGGGCCCACCGTACCTTCCCAAATCTCGCTGGCTGCTCCAACCGCTGCAGGACAAGGGAGGGTAGCCACGGTGATGGATACGGGAACAACGAAAATGGTGACCCCTGCGGCGACCGAGATAGGGCCCGATGAGTACATGGCTGCGGCGATGTTCGAACCCGGGACCATTGGAGTGATACGTCACGTCCAAAGGATTACCGAGGAAAGCGACCTCGGGCCTTGGCGGCCGGGGTTCGAAGATCTCACGGCCCCTGACCCTGAGTACAAGGACGGTCACATCGATGTGTTGGATGCATTGAAGGCTCTGGATCTACGGATCCCCGTCCCTATTCCTTATCTGCTAACCATTTCCGAAGCGGCTAACGAAAAGTTGATCGAACGATGCCTCAAAAACCGGCGCCGATTCGAGGAAAGCCGAAAGGGCAAAGAGCCGGTCCTACGAGACCTACCCCCAAACGAAGAGTCACAGCCCTCGACCTCAAAGGTGCACGAAGCCAACCGGATAGGAATGATCCAGACCGTAGATTCTGCCTCGGAAAGACCCGAGGTATTCCTCCGAGCCTATCCTATAACCTGGAAAAGCGTTGAGTGTGACTGCGAGGTCTTGGGAAACCCCTCGGCTGCCATCCTAGACTCGGGATCGTTGGCGGTCGCCATTTCTTGGAGATTGACGAGACGATTGGGAAGGGAAGGACAGGTTCAGCCCCTCCGACCGGATGACTGTATATATCCGCTACAGAAGACAACATTCATTGTAAGGGGCGGATAACGAACGTGCCTATACGGGTGGGGCGGGTGCATTGTTTATGCGACGCAATCGTGCTGGATGTACAGGTGTATGATGTTCTGCTAGGCATTCCATGGCAGGTGGCGGTTGGAGCGCGAATGCACTTTGACAGCTGTAGGTGGTGCTCACATCGGCCCACCCCAAACCACAAACGATACCAATGAGATTGGCGGTGCGTATGCGCACCCAGCCGGCACCTCGAATCACCACGAAAGCCCACCAAATCAACATGATCCGACGCCTGTCACCAGGCGAAAATGAAACCTCGTCGAAAACTGACGAGATTGACGTTCCCGACCGATATCCGATCCGGGTTCAGGATCGGTGGCGCCATTCCTGGTGACGAGAACCCCTGGAAATAGTTCGGAGCGAGTCCGATTGGTCGCACGCGTTCTCCTCAGTGGTGCAGGAGGAACCCCTGCTGAGGGTGTCGCGAATAACTGACCTTTCAGAACCCCTTGCATCCTTATATCTTAGAACGGACCCCCTACCCGAAAGGTCTACGGAGCTCAGGGGGTTGTGTGATTTAACTTTTCGGTCTCCCAGGCCCCTGCTTACAAACGCAAAGGCCGCCCTGCTCTTGGAGGAAGGGGCATCATTTCAACCCCGGACGAGGGAATATCGATGGAGGCCGAAGGAACTGATGCAGGCCTTTTCAGTGGAACCCTTGGCTGAAACCGAGCTCGAGAACGACAGTGACATGGAAAATGAGCCGATAAGCCCCGCAGACAGTTAACTTATCGCGACCGTGCTTTCGGCAAAAACCGACAACTCTCTGTTTGGTACCTCACCCGAAGCTAACGCAACAGTCCCCATGGTTACGTCGACGATCTCCCTCCTTGAGGGAAACGTGGACGTCTGGCTGCCGGCCTATGTGCCTGATGACTATAAACGCCGTCTTTTTTTTGGCAGTTATACGGGCCTACCCAGTATCCAGGACCACGATATAGGACTCACCCACCTGATCCAACACGCGATTGATACCGGTGATCGCGCTCCGATACATTGTCGACCGTACCGTTATTCCCTAAAGGAAAGACAGCTGGCCTTGGAGAGGGTACGAGAGTTCGAGCGGTTAGGGTGGATTGAACCATCGCTGGGACCATGGTCATTTCCCGTGGTCCTCGTGCCAAAACGAAACGGTTCAGTCCGAGTGTGTAATGACTACTGCAAATTAAACTCTATTACTACCAAAGATGTCTATCTGCTACCGCGGATTGACGACCTGCTGGATGCTATCGGGTCCGCTCGGGTCTTTTCAAAGTTCGATATCCGACACGGTTTTCACCACGTCGCAGTCCGACCGGAAGACCGGCCCAAAACCGCTTTTGTCCTGTTCGAGGGCACGTGGCAGTGGATCCGGTGTCCCATGGGAATTTGTAACGCCCCGGCAACATTCCAGTGGGCCATGAACATGGCCTTCGCCGAGTTCGTTAACAAAACCCGTTTGACACAACCGTTGATAAGTTTCTGTGTGATTGTGTACATGGATGACATTTTGGTCTTTTCCAAAACCTACGAGTACCATGTGGAACATGTCGAATGGGTGTTGCATGTGTTGAAAGATGCGGGGTTCAAAGTGGCTCTGGAGAAAAGCGAGTTCTTTTTGTTCGAAATTTCCTTTTTGGGCTACATCGTCACGGTCGAGGGACTGAAACCGGATCCCAGGAAGGTAGCAGCGGTTCGAGAAGCCTCGACCCCGGTCACGCTCACCCAGGTTCGAGCCTTCCTAGGGCTGGCCTCTTATTATTGACACTTCATTCGGAGCTTTGCCTTCCTCGCCAAGCCGCTGACGAACCTGTTGAAGAAGGAGGAGCAGCTGATCTGGACGCCGGAATGCGAGGCGGCTTTTCGGGCACTCAAGGAGGCCCTGACATCGGCACCCGTGTTGGCGCGCCCCGATCCGACACGATAGTTTGCGCTGCATACCGACTGGCAGCCGTAGGCAATATCGGCGGTACTGACTCAGCAAGGATCAGATGGAAGGGAGCATGTCATCGAGTATGAGTCGAAAACACTGAGCCAGGCGCAGTCAAACTACGAGGCGTGCAAGGGTGAATGCTTGGCGGTGGTGTGGGGAGTTCAGCACTTTCGACCGTATCTGTACGACCAGAAGTTCGTGCTCGTGACGGATCATCAGCCATTGCTATCGTTGCGGAACAACATGGACTACACGGGTACCTTGGGAAGGTGGGCGGTGAGATTGCAGGACTACGACTTCGACATCCGCCACCGCGCCACCCGGCAGCACGGGAACGCCGATGGTCTGACCCGCCTCCAGCTGCCGAGCAAGAGTCTCGCGAACGAGAAGCTCATCCCGTGGAAACCGATTTCGCCTTCGACGGAATCCGGCTACGGGGAAGTGAATGTCCTCCACAAGGGTACTGCAGCAATCGGAGATGGCGATCTCCCATGAGGAAGCCGACACCCCCTCCCCCCTTCCCTATTCTTCAACCCCCTCTCTTGACCTTGACTCCCCTCCGAGCACGCCTTCCCAAATCTGCTTTTTCTGCACCTTGCCTATGATACCGACAAGGGGAGATCCTCCTCTCGAGGGGCCTAGCTTTCTTCTCTGGGTACAATGTAGTCAATGTCACATCGTCCGGTCCCATGGGAGTTGTGCCCGGTATCGGAACGGAAAAAGTTGGAACTGTCCCAACTGTCGAATGAACCACGTACCTACGGAAAAACGATATCTAGAAGCTAGAACGGCAGACGGATTTTTGCCAAGCGTCCGCCGAGCGGAAGTCTGGACAGATCTTCTGCTATTACGGAGACTAACAGGCGATCCGCTGACGGAACTTACCAAGGGCGACGTGTCACGGAACGGGCGCACGATTACCGCTGGCAGGGATCGGTCCTTCAAAAACGAAAAGACGATGACGTCGATGGATCTAGTTGGTTGACGGTTCCACACCCACAGGCCAGGTTCGATTGGACACGAGCCGCCCACGAGGAGGATGCGGTCCACTTTGCAGTCAAATACACAGAAAAAGCGATAGAGAAAAACGGATGGTACTGGTCGGGAATCCGGGAAGATGTGAAATACATCGTCCGAACTTGCCCGGCCTGCGCGGCCGATAAAGCGCCGATACAGATGCCTCGTACAATAGTGCCTACCCGGGTAGAGCGCCCCTTCCAACGGGTCTGTATCGATACGACGGACATCAACGTGCCGAGAGACCCTGTAGATCAAGGAGAACTCAATGTTCTTTTTGTAGCCATAGATCATTTTTCGAAATGGATTGAAGCGTATCCAATGACCAGCCGGAACTCGCAGGAAGTAGCCTGGTACATTAATTGCTTTTTGTGCATGCACCTGGACGTAGAAGAGATACATATGGACAATTGATCCGAGTTCCAGGGAGAAGTAGAGCGACATCTTGTAAGGGTAGACGTTAAAAATTCATACTCCCCGGGTCAGTGGCCCCAAGCCAACGGGCTCGTAGAGAATGCCAACCGAATGATCAAGACTGCACTTAGACGGAATATCACCGCAGGTGATACCAGACCCTGACCTGTCATAGTCGATCACATTCTGGCCGTCTATCGGGCTACTCCCCACGGGAGCACCGGGGTGTCCCCGTTCCAACTGAGAACCAATAGCGTCCCCAGAGTGCAGTTGTCACCTCTAGTGGGTACGAAAGTTAGAGTGACCCGGGCCCAGCACAAGGACAAGGCCCAACATTATCTGGATCTGATGGCCCGGACCTATCCCGCGTTAGCCCGAAGACGACAAAGGGTCGTAGATCTGACGCATCAACGACAAATCCGGGACTATGAGAACCGACACGCGACAGCGGGGCCAATGCCCCGTTATAAAATCGGGGACTTGGTGCAGGTACGGAAATCTGCGCGCTCCTCCAAGATCCACCCACGCTATACCGGCATTTACGAAGTGACGGAAGTTGGCGCACGAGGACAGCACTCTGTGAAGCTGGTACCCAGGCATAGCGCGCAGGCCAGGTCGCTTACGCGACACGCGGCGGCTCTTCGGCTGTTTCGGCCATCTCCGGGTCGCGAATCGGCTCTTGCCCGGTCCGAGCCTTCGTCCTTTCTCTCCCCCTCTCCTTCTTCGTCTTCATCCTCTTCCCGATCTGCCTCGTCCCTTGGTGCTGAGAGTTTCAGGGAGCAGGATGAACCATCGCCAGCCGGAGCATGAGCCCCTCGAGCATTTCCAGACGCCGCTTGCAGATCGCTTGTTGCGGCACCAGTTCAACGAGGAAAGGCAGTTGCGATGCGACATTCAGCAGGTGAACGTGCCAACGCCCGGGGTTGCCGATCTGGCAGCATACTCGCTACTTTGTGATCATGCAGGGGTGTACGTGGACGTGACGCAGTTGCCTGGGCGGGAGACGACTCGAGTGTTCATCGAGTTCCGCGCGCTCCAGGTGGCACCCAACTTCGTGCATAGCGTCGCCACCTTTATCGGCGACTTGACGATCCTGCCACCGCCGAGTCGGGAGCTGGCGCGAAGTTTTGTGCGCGAGTACGCAGTGCAGGCGGCCAGATCAGTGGCCAGAGTGCAAGGACGGGGGGGACACCGATTCACAGCCCACGAAACGCTGCTGCGCAGGGCAGAGGACGGACCAATCGCGTTGGTGCCGCAGCTCCCCGCGCTTCTTCCTCCCGCTGCCCCTCTCAACATCCAAGCTATCCCCCCTGCCCCGTACTAAATGCCTCCCTTCTTCTCTTACACCACTCTCCCCTATCAACTCACGGAGGGCCCTTATCCTATGCGCGAGTTCTCGAAGTATTTGGTGGAGCTAACTGACGTGGAACCGCTGCCCTTCGCAGACGAAGACGCGTGGGAGTTGCACCGTGCGCTGTACCAGTGGGTGGCGTTGGGGATGTTCCGATTCTTCGTGGATCACGAAGACCACTGTATCGGGGAGCACTTTGTCGTCTACTACGTCATCACGCGGCCCAAGCCAGCGCAGAAGGAGGGGACGGTGGCGCTGTACCAGTTCGCCCAACTCCAGACGATCGATCCGGGATTGTTGGAGCTCATACATCTTGAGCTCCTATCCATTGCGCAAGTGATCGCGAGCGAGGAAGAGGAGATCCAGCCACGATTGCGGACGGCGGCTGCTCTGCGGAGAATGTACAACGGGGTCGTCATCTCGGATTACATTGCGCAGCACGCGGAGAGGTTGGAGGACTTCCCGGAGGAAAAGCCATTGCGGCCTCCCTCGTCGTATCCCAGACCTGCACCGCCAAAGGCCCCCAAGAAGACGCCAAAGAGGAAGAGACGCCTCCCGTCGCCAGGAGCGCAAGGCAGCAGAATCGGTGGCGGCGAGGAGGTGGTTCAGCCCGTGCGCATGTGGAATCTTGACCCGGTGCCCGGGAGTGCGGCGACGCGGGTTAAGGAGACCGTCGTGACATCACCGCCCTTCCCGCGCGTGCCCGATCTCAATCTCGATGGAGCCGGGCCATCAACCGCAGCAGCCGGAGGAGGGAGCCGAATGGGATTACCGGATCCCGTATTCAGATCCCCCGTCCTCGCAGGACCTTTCCGCTTCCGCCCGCCACCCCGGAGTGCCCCGATCATTGACATTAGTAGTTCCTCCGAGCCGGACGGTCCATCCGACAGAGGTGGACTTCATGGTGGAGCCCACCACCATCAGGCTTGAGGCCATCGCGGGGGCGCTGCGCCCTGATCCGGCATGGGAGCCATATCTGACACCCCCTTTTCAAGGGTGTACTGCGGTGCGACTGGCGGGGATGCTCATCTATGAGACCGGGCAGCGTCCCAATGTGGTGTATCACTTCCTTGTGTTCGCGGCGCAGAAGCGGGAGCGGCGGCCCTACACCGAGACTCATATGGTGATGACGGGCCCCGGACCCCGGTCGGAGCGCAAGCGCGTGGTGCAAGCGGTGGCGGATCTGGCGCCACGTGTCCTGTCTCATGTGCCGGGGGCCTTCCTCTATCCCTCGTTTGTCCAGCACCACTTTCATGAGGAAGATGTGTCGACGACTCCCGCGACAATGGCCGCTTTTCTTCCACCTATTCCGCCCCCTCTCAGTCTCGACATCGATCACTTCCTCTGATCACCTTTGTCTACCTCTCCCCTCTTCTCTCTCTCTCCTTCTCTTCATCGTCTTCTTCTCCTACGACCAAAGTTCGCGTGTCGAGACGCGCTGTATATGTGTAAAGAAAAAAAAATAATAAAAAAAAATAATAATAATAAAAAAATTCAGTGGACTACTAACCGATCGGGCCAGCTGACGATGAAGGGGCCGCCCGATCGAATGTATAATAAGAAGGAGATAGCTGACGATGCAAAATGCATCAAAGTAGGATAGGAGATGCTTGGGTCAGCTGACGATGAAGAGGCCGCCCGAGCATCCAAAATATGATGACATCAGCAGTCGGGAGACTGCTAATTTTTTGGAACCCCCTGTGTATCACAGATGTGATAAGCTCAGATCCGTACCGCGCGGCTTGCCGCATCCCTGAGGAAAAATCCCCCGGGAGCCCCGAAGTACGGATGCGAACAGGAAGGGGGTTTTCTTTCTTTTTGCTTTTTGCTTTCCTTTTTGAAACGGCTTTTTCATTTCTTTTTCTTTCTGGCTAAATAATTCGCGCGCGGGCGAATAGCGGCCGTAGTATGAAAACCAAGAAACGGTTTCGGTTGGGACTTTTTGAATTTTTGCGCGCACACGCCTAAGCTCCGATTTCTTCGCGCGTCTCGCACCCCCATTTCTTGCTTTGCATCCCCGCGCCATCTTCCTCTCTTGCTGCGCGCGTTTCCCTCAGGCCGGACTCTTCGTCTTCCCCTACGCCCAGCTTGATCCTTACCCCGTCTTCCTCCGCGAAGTGATTGGCTGCATAGTTGGGATGCTCGGATCAATGTGGAGAGCGGGAAACCGCGCACCACTTGAACGAACACCCCAATCACGTAGGACCATGCAACCCCGCGGATCGAACCCTCTGACTCCCCACCTTTCTTCTGTCCTGCTCATCTACACCCTGCGCTGCCCGCACCTCGCGCTGACAACCCGCCGCCTCCCACGCTATAAATTCGCGCAACCCTCTCCTCTCCTTCTCTTTGATCTCGGTTGCAATGCTGCGCGAGCTATGCGCGAAAGTCCGCGACGCTGAACAGGCTCGACGACGGGCGGAGTGACGACGTGGGGTGGACCCGCGGTAGTCTCGGGGCGAAGCAGTCGGAGAGACTTAGCAGTGGTGGGGATTGGACACCGGCCGCGGCAGGGCCTTGTGGCTATGGTAGTCGGTGGTCTTGGGAGGTTTGAAGGCTGCGCCTAGGGGCGGCAGTTAATTGAATTTTTTTGTGTACAAGAAGGACTCGCTTTTATCTCCATTGCTGCTTTGTCTATGCATGTCGTGTGTGTGAAGCCCCGAGTGATGGGAGCTGGTTGTGCGCATGAGTGATGTTGAAGGTCTATGGATGATTACATGTCTTGTCAAGGGTTGTTGATTGCATGCATGTATGTGTGTATGTACTTGTCCGGGCGGGGACGGGGGAACTGAACTGGGGGACCGTCTGCTTAGGAGTATGAGTGTGTTGATCCTGTTGTTCCCCTCCCCTCCGCGGCCTTTCCTGCGCGCACGCRCAGTCTCGRTGTAACTCACTCTCTCTCTATCGCCTTTCTTTTTGAACTGATAGTCATCGCTTTTGAACTTCTCGTCCCTGTCCCGGTGACGTCAACCGCCTGCGTCCGCGCGGACGGTCGACGCCCCYGCAAGGGGWGAGAGCKTAGATTTCGTCATCTTMCCCCGAYGCACCCACTTTTRAGAGAGAAGAGTTGCGTCGAGTGTTGTATGGAGTCRGTGTTGGTTCGGATGACCGGGAGCGCGGGATCTTGCCCGTGTTCATCGCGCACCTCCGATCGTCTCCTCTCGCTACCGACCTTCCCCATTGCAGATGACGACARCGTCTACTGCGATGCGGACGTACGGCGCACGCTGAGACGGACGGAGCAAGTGTGTTGACGAGACCCGCCTCGGGCGTGTAATATAAGGGGGAACGGGTTTGTCTTGATCGATCGCTTTGATTCCCCGACTCTAATATTGCCTTATACGGGTTTGACGGTGTTGCCCTGGTCGGCCGCTCACGCCGCGTGGCGGCCGCAGTTTGATTGTCCCTGGTGTCGCCAGGGGGACTCGTGTTCTTGACGACGCTTGGTCCTGGATTACGAGGGAGCGACGCGTTTCCCCGAGCTCTCCCGTAATGCGGGGGCGCTGCCCACGCAATTTCGAATTCGGATGCCGGCGAGTCCTCCCGCCGCTTCACCCTCTCGGAATCTCCCGCGCGGACTTTGCGAGTCCGACGCCGAGGCTTGAAGGCCTCGAACCAACCACTTCTACAGCAAAACCCGACGGTCCGGTCCCTTCATGAGGCCGATGACGAGGCCTGAAGGCCTCAAACCCACCACCTATCCCTCAAACCCATGACGGCCGGAGTTTCTGTCTTCCGCCGCCATGGCGCTCTCCCCTTGATGCCTTTTCCCATCCTGATGCACGACGGCAGTTCGTTTTTGCGGAACCCTTCTGATTTTATCGCTTCGAAGTGATTCGACCCCCACGGGACTTCGCGGTGACAGTTCGACTCCGGGGTAACCTCTGGCACGAAACGAGAGCCTCCCGTTCCGTCCGGGAGACTCAACCCCTACGGCCAAAAATCCTCGGCCACGCCCCTCCTAGAACTCTGATCGGCGACCCA